TATATATATATTATAGTTATAGGACTATTGCATAGCAAATAAGTAGTCATTATTCAATAGAAATTTTATTATAAATAAGCTGAGTTTTTCATTATATATCGTTAGAAATTTAGAAAGAAATTTAAAGAGAAAAACTTAGAAATTTAAAAGATAATTTATAAGTTAATAAAATCTTTGCTAAATTGTCTTGACAAATCAATCACCTGTGTCAAACATATTTTATGTCAAAATACTTTGTATTAACTGTATTTGATATTATTAATTTATCCATATCAATAAATCTTTGAAGTATTAAACAACTGCTTTGTGTTAACCATTGTATTTAGAGTCATCAACAAGTTAAAGTATTTAATATTATGAAATACTTTAAGTTGAGTATTACTAACTTGGTTATAATAAATTTATTATAACATCAACAAGGTAATTTCTCTAATATCTTAGAAAATTACGAGTCACCATAATGAATTAAAAGTCTTTATACTTGCCAATTCAGAAACTTAATCGTGAAAATACATTGACAACAAGTAAAATTCAAAGATAATTAAAGTCTTTTCCAAATTATCATAAAGATTGAGCTAAATCTTGCTGCTACTCAATTGATTACATGTTTCAGTCCGCTTAATTAACAGTTAGATAACAATAAAAGGTTTGCTAGAAAAATGGAACTCTGAGTATTTTTATTAAAATTTTAATAAAAAATGCTCAGAGTCTCATTTTCCTAGAAAACCTCCTATATCTCATAATAATAAGAAGCATTTATATAACTGATATTTTCAAAATTAGCTATTTAAGAAATCATTAGCATATTTATTATTAGGAATAGTGTTTTAAATTAGATGAAGCTCTATAAAGAGTTATAATATCTGTAAAAGGAGTTAATATAATTATCTGAATTGATTGTACACCTTTTATTAGTGAACTTCTTAGAAGTTAAAATATAAGATTCTTCAAAGCTTGATGAAGTATATAAGTCTTAATAAGTATCATTTCTAATTAGAGAATAGTTTTAATTGATTGTTTTTTCAGTAGATTTAATTATATGTTTATCTATATATTGCTTAGAAAAAATTTTACACATTGAATCCTTATGATAAGAATAGTAATAAGAGATATCATAATTTATAGGATTTGCAATATTACCAGATTCCTTATATATATTACATATATAATTAATGTTGATTTTATTTGATCCTTTTTGCTAAGCTCTTCTTTGAAAATATTTGTAATTGCTTTATGTGCTGATGTTATAAGTTGAGGCATATAAGATATATCTGCATAATTTAACACACTAACTTAATATTTATTAAAAGCATATTCAGGATTTATATATAATAGTATAACATCTTCCTATTCAGTTATATGATTAAGATTTCTGGTATTACCTATTAGGATCAGGTTTTTTTTCTAAGAATTCTATATCATAATAAAGTGATTTTTTTCTATAATTTTATTAGTATATGTATCTGTAAAAAAAATCTTATCTTTCAATTCATATATTGATTGAAAATACTCTTTAGGAATATATTTATTATTATTCCCTTAATATTTAATTTGTAAAGTGACAATTAACCTTTTTCTATAAGTTTGGATTAATGGCTGACCAGCTTCTAGATTTTTCTTATTTCTAATCATTTTTTTGAATTTCTTCTCCAATTTTTCTCTTATTGGCAATCTGTTTACTTTATCATCATATTAGTTAAGATCATAAAAGAATGTTAAATAACTATCTAGACTATCTACTAAATAGAATTTGATACTTAAATCAAGTTCTTCCCATCTTTTTCACAATATTACTTTCCATTTCTTAAAGTGCTTATCAGACTTTTACTTATTTGAATTGACCTAATTGTTTGCCTACTTTTTGGTAACATAGTCCTTTTTATAGAATAAGAACTCTTCTTTAATTATTATTCTTAGGAGATAGGACTTGTATAGGTAAGTTATCAGGATCTAAAATCTCTTCAGATAAAATAAGTTTAGGTATTTGGACTTACTCTTTCCTTTGATTTATAATTTTTAGGATTGAGGCTTACATTTGTTAGATTTATATTAGTGATTGATTCCTTTTTTTTACATAAATCTTTTTTTTTAAAGATCTTATTAGATCATGAGTTTTTTTGAAGTCATCTTTATTACAATGAGAACAAGACAGAATCATTTCAATTATAATCAGTTATAAGTATAAAATTTAGTTGTTTGTATTAATATATGAAAAATTTTTTATTTAAAATAAATTATTTTGCATACAAAAGTGATTTTTATCTATTAAAATGAATTTCACATTCAAAAATAAAACTTCATTAATTCAAAAATGAATTTTATTTTAAAAGTAAAATTTTGTTAATTCAAGCTAAATAAGTTATTTCAAAAGTGATTTTTATTATTCAAAGGTGAAATTTCATTAATTAATAATAAATTCATGATAAATTTTATCTATTAAAGTAAATTTTATTAATCAATAACAAATATTATTATTTTTAATACTATTAACTTTTTTTTTACTAATAATATTTTTTTTTCAGTTTTCATATTTTATTCTCTTAATAAAAGACTTTTCTTTTTTTTGAATAAGCTATATAACTTTCTGGGATTCTTTTAATGATAGCTTTTTAGATTTTCTAATTATTTTTTTTAAATAAAAATTAACTTTTATTACTAGGATTTTTACTAATTTTTTCTTTTTTAATAGAAGTGAACTTTTCTTATTTATTAATTAAGATATATTACAAATCAGAACTCTATTGGTAATAGTTTTTCAAATTTTTTTTAAATTTTTTTTTTTAATAATATAGATTTTTCTTGCTTAATTGTTAAAATATATTATAAATTAAAACTCTTTTGGTAGTATTTTTCAGATTTTTACTAATTTTTCTTTTTTTTAATAGAAGAGACTTTCTTGCTTATTGGTTAAGATATATTATAAATCAAAACTTTTTTGATGATGTTTTTTCAGATTTTTATTAATTTTTTTCTTTTTTTAATACAGTGCATACAATCTAATCCTAACCACCAAATTTTAACAAAATTCAAATTACTACTTCTCACTCAAAAAAATGATAAACATAAAATATAATCATAGAATGATAGAGCAGCTCAAACTTAACAAAACTACGATTTTAGATTTTCTATAAAATGATTTTTAACGGAGCAGTAGCAATTCAAAGTTGGGACATTTTACTAATAAATCAGATATTTTGGCCACTATACACGTGATACACATGATCAATATGTCCATTGTTGATTGGCTAATTTGCGCTCAAACATTAAGTTAGAAAAAAAAATCAATGATACTTCCAATCATGATCTTTAATGGCAATAAAGTCAAATGATTTTTGTGTAACTTAAATTGAGAATAAAATAACACAGTCTCCTATTCTGTCTTTATAAACAAATTTTTTTTCTTTTTAAATTCAAAATATAAACCTTTAACATATAAACAAGGCATTTTTCTTCTTTATTTATTCAAAAAAAAGGTAAAAATAGACATCCAATCAAAATAATTATTCTAATGTTTACTCTAATTGCTATTGTTGCATTCACATCATTTACACAATCACTAATCTTCCTTCTTTTCTTTTGTTCATAGCTAGTGTAAGTAAATATGTATCAAATGAAACTTTTATTCTAAGTATTGATTGATTGTAAAACTGAATCGGGAACCCGGCGATGTGAACGGTATTTTTTGACTGCAAATTATGCTGCCCGGCCTGTCAAGCCTTTTCAGTATACGTTCATGTAGTAAAATGCTTTTCTTGCATACCGACGAATAGTTATAAGTGAAACAGAAGTAAGAGCCAATGGAACAGTTCTTTGTAACCCTATCCATGAGTAATCGCAATGTGATCAGCTAAATTTCTTGGTTGAACCCAAAAGTTTTCAATGTAATTGAGCTCACAATGAAACTTGGAGTAAAATATAATTTGATGTCTAGCTGCAATAATAACCTCTTCTAGTTGTCCTTTTTATGCTAAAAAGTCTGGTTGTTGACTCATTACTTCTCGTGCTTCTTCCAATTTTAACCCTTTATTTGGCCATAATACTCTTTCTATCAGAACTTGCTTTAATCCTTTTAGCTATTCACGCAATTCAGTAATATGATAATCTAGTGGAAAGATCATATCCTGTTGAACCTCTTCACCAAAATTTGTGCTGCATATTTTTCGCTGCTTTTCACTAAGGCTGAGATTCATATGCTTGGTGATAAGCGTGTCTGGAGAAAAAGCAGCGTAACTTGATGCATTGTCAAATGCAAACAAGGCTTGGCATCCTGGAAAATGTGCTTCAAATATGGGTATAGCACATTCAACTACCTGTTTTACTAAGTCTTCAGCCTTCCACCATCTATCACTGTTTTTTCCCGAATGCATGATGATATAGGCTTCTTTAGAAAAGCCATCTGGTGACTGCATTTTGTCGGGAAGAGCAAGGCGGCCACAAACTTCTATTAGAAAATCACTAACAAGAATCGAGCAACCGTTACCTTTTTTTCGTAAGGGTTGTTTACCATCAGAAATCCAAAGGTTTCATTTTCCATCATAAGCTGCTAAAATACACTCGTCGTATATGACAAGAATAAGTTTTTGTATATTATTATCTGATCAGATTATTTTTTCCAAATTGTCTTCTGAAAAAATAGGCATTCTATATTCAAAGTTATTCATCTGTTCTAAAAATATTTTCCTATAGGTCACCACATCTTCTCTCTTATGTTTGTTTATATATACACCCTTTTTCATCTCGGCATATTTATATCCAAGTTCTTTCAAATAATTTCTCGCAGTATTAATATGAATGGTTAGAGGTGACGCAAATCCAAGTCTTGGCAAAATAATTTTGTTTATTTGCACCATCAACATTTGTGAAGTAATATCCCACTTATGCTCTCAAATATATACTTTTACTTTATAAAGAATGTTCTCATCCCAGAGAAAACTCCATGTTTTGGCGTAATGTCCTTGACGAGAATAGGGAATTTTGTGGATTATTATATATTCATGTGCCTAATAACGAATGCATTTAGCATGATATACTCCTTTTCCCGCCGCATTAGCAACCACTTCGCTTGCTTTTATTTTCAAATGGTTGTATTTTACAAGTTGGAAATAAAGACGAATGCTGTTTAGACATATCCAAACCTCACTGTTAACCTTTTCTTTTTTGATATCTAGTTCCAAATTTTTGAGAGCATTTGGGATTTTATTATGCCAGTTGTAACCTTCAGCCTCTTCAACCTCATTGTCTGAATGTTCATTAACTTCATCATCCGAATGTTCATTAGTATCATTATCTACTTCTATATTATTCTCATCAGTCACCTCATTGTCGATTTCCTCATCGGGTTTCTTAATCTCCCAAAAGGTATGCAACTTAAGAGTTCCCTTTGCTGCTTCACGCCGTTGCTAATTCTTCCATCTTTTAGTGCATTTTGAATTCCCTATATAACGTAGTCTATGTGCTTCACAGAAAGCATATTCCTAGTGGTATTTTTGCTGCTTCTTGAAGTTTTCTTATAATACTTGCAGCATTATCATTTTCCTCTAGCTCATCATAAAAAATGATATCATCATCATCATCATAACCATCTGGTTCGTGAAAATTAACTTGTGTACTTTGACTTGTAACCTTGCCTTTCTTGATTGTTTTTGACATTTTGTTGGGCGTGGCATGTTAGCAAATCAGAAGTCTTCTCTAATGAAATCTAGCTAACAAATGATAGAGTATAAACTATACAGAAAAATTAACTACTTTATTATTTAATGTTGATTTTTTTTAAAAGAAAAAAAAGATTCTTCTAATGATAATACGCAAAGCAAGAAATTTTTATTTGTCATGTGGGAAAGGGAAACTGATTATGATTAGGATATATATTTAAACTATTGTGATTGATTGATTACATTCAGATTACTGCATTAAATCGGGTTAATGTAATTCAAGATTTACTTGCAATGCGATAAAATTACCCAATATTTGATAACATTTTCAAATTCAGTTTATTAATAATGAAAAAAAAGTCTTTTATTTTTAACACTTGTTACAATTTATATATGTACTTGATTTAATGCTGATATCAAAAATCAA